ATATATATATATATATAGACACAGCTTTTATTGCTCACCTGTTTGTGAGCCTCTGTGGTGCAAGCCTTCTTGAACGGCCGGATCTCATCTGAGCCATAACCAGGAATCCACATGTTCCACTGGCGTTCTGAGAAGAGCAATGCACAATGTCAGCAGAACACAAGGCTGTATGAACCACTCTGGACTTCCAACACATATTTAGTGACATTAAACTATTTATATATGTATTACTATCAGGGCTATCATTTCCTTGTTGGTATCTCGGTCTATCACAAAATTGTCACACTCCCGAGATCTAACTTCTATGTCGTTTCCAAGAACAGTTAATAATGTGGTCAGGGCTTTTACACAGATAATTGCAACTTCTGTGACTGTCTTGAATCTGTATCTATAAATGTCTCCAAGGAGATAAGCACCAATTACTTTAACTTAAGGGTGACAAACTGTTTTTTTTTTGGCATAACATTTTCAAATATCTTTGTTTTTGTATTTTCTCAACAGCACACAGATCCATGAAGTCTTCCATTTGAGATGCTTAATGTCAGACGTTTTTGTAATATTTAAAAGGAATAAATCTGCTCCCTACAATTATCACAATTTATTTTTAAAATGCACAGAAAGTTTGATCATTTTTTGATGAATGAATATGAAAACACCATTATGTCCAAAGTTAACGATTTAACACTTTGTGTTAAGAAATGAATGATTCACCCATGAAATTGGCATTGTATACACATAAACAATCACATATTCGGTAGGGCATAGTTTCGTCCTGAGACAATCATTTTGGAAAGCAATCATCTCCCAGTGATTACAGTATTTTTTTGCATCACCCATAGAGACACACTAAACACACCCTTGTTAAAATATTAGGTTGTTACAATCCTAAAAAAAAAACGTCACCAGCCACTTACCAAGATGTAACTGAACATCCTTCACCTCCAAGGTGTTGGACTTGCGATGGCGTGCCAGTTGACAGGCTGCTGTTACTACACTCTCTATAAAGTCATCTGCAATTTGAAGCAGCATCTGAGAGGACAGACATTTGGAAGACATCAATCGTTTGCAGTAAAGGAAATCAGCATTTCACAACCACTGAAAAAAAAAAACAACCCTCATTTTCAGTTGCTCACACCATTTATCACTCGGCCTGACTTTCAACAGAATAAGATTTCTAAAGGATGGATGTGACAGTAGGTTAGGGCAGCTTTAGAGAAATAAAAGTGGCATTTATTCCACAACAAAAAATTTTTACTCTTCACAAAAGAAAAACAGAATTGATTTGAAACTGCAATTAAAACCACTGACAAACCTCCTCAACATCCTCATCCAGCTGCTCGTTCGGATCGATCTCCCTCACCAGGTCCTGCAGCTTCTTCTTACTGAGCACCTGAAAGAAAGCAGATGGATCCATTCACTCTGTTAAAAGAAAATGGAGTACAGATGCTGCACACTTGCTTGTTATATTAGTATAATGATGGCCCTAATTGCAAAAATGAGGCCAACTACGAGACCTTTTTACATTTAAAATCAAGACCAACAAAATTGGTCTGAAATGTGAGTTTGACACCGATATTCACAGAATCGCTCACCTTTTAACATAAATTATTTTTTTTAATATCAAATACAGTTACAAAACCCAATCACAGCATTTAATCTGTTACTAATTGTTTTTTGGGGAAAACTGTCCCACACTTTATGTAGCTCTGATGTTGATTAGAATTAGTTCTTGTGACTGTGAAGCCAGTAGTGTGGCTGTAATTATTAGAAAGTTTGACTCATTGAAAACTTCACAACCTTGATCAAAATAGTGTAATAAATCACAGTTTTTAAACAAGTTTGTAGCTGCTGTTTGCAAGGGAACTGTTGCTGCATTTAATTGAGAGCATTTAGAGAAGCGTCTTTGGGTTTGGGGAGTAACACAATGGACTGACCTGAGACCCCTCTGGACTACTCCTGCCGGCAGGCCCAGGGGGCAGAGCCTTCACCACTGTTGCGGTGCTGTTAGCCATGCTGGTGGCAACAGGAAAAAGTGGAGGGACTTTGGGAGTTTCACAAGAGACAAAACTGCTCGTCTGTGTCTGTACTTGTCAGAGTCCTGAGTGACAGTCCAAGATGGGAACCGATGTGATGGATTATCTTCTACAGGGACCACGTCCGTAAATCTGGGGGGGGAATTACACAGGTTAGCATCACAGAGGCAATACTGATAGACCTGATTACAGAATCCTAAAGAAGGAGCCATTTATTAATTATTTATTAATGCTAACTTTAATTTTAATCTATTTAATTTTCTATTTTTGCTTCCCGCTGATGTTTTTCTCTCCCCCCCTCCATGTAAATAACTTTGCAGCTTGATAGTATAAACAGTTAAAACTATCATAGTTAGTGTAGCTCCCAGACACAGGCAGAAACTTAGCCGTAAAACAACGCTGCAGGATCTAGTACGAATATTAACCATGTTAACAAAATAACACCAAGCTTGTACAATAAAACGAGGAAATACGGAACTGTTAAGTGGCCGTGAGGCTTAAATTAATAAAACAAACGCGTGAAATACCGACGCTAACACAACGTTACGTGCTAAAAACAATAGCAGCTATCAAGCTTTGAATTTAGCCTGACTGGCTAACATTGGCAGCTAATACAACGGCGCGGCTTAATACACGCTGCATCCTAAAATTACGCGCTGGATTGCCAACTTACCCACTTAAACAAACACTATCTGTCCATGTTTCGACGTCGTTGCGACGACAATAGGTGAGTTTGACACAGAAAGGCTCGTTAAATTCACTCTACACAGATAGAAAATTCAGCGAGGTAATTTTTTCACTACTTCCGCTTTGTCTATGCTTGTTTCCGGTGGTAACATCATGTCGCCTCTACTCTGCCACCTGCTGGATATTTTATAGAACTACACCAGGATTCAATAACAACGGTGGACAGCGGTGTAGTGAACGCAAACGAGCTGGATAAACTACACAGGGGCAGAAATGGTGTAGAAATGTTTATTTTATTAGTCCTAAAATTAAACAACGAACAAAAAACAATACAGATAATAGAATATTATGAATTCAACACACAAAGGTCTATTACATTAATGATAACAGTGATTATAATAATAATAGTTAAAATAGTTAAAATAGTGTCAGTAATGCATTTTAAGAAATCCCAGACAATTTAAACAATATTTTTTTTTCTGGTAGACTGACTAATTACAATGTAATAAAAACACCACCAACATTTCTGCAAATATTATTTGCAATGGTATTCAGGCCAGTTACTTTAGGGGTTCTTGAAAGTACAATAGGCTACCTCCAACCAACCTAAGTAAGAATGTTTTAAGTTTATGGGGTTTATTCTTCCAAATACAATAATAGACAGTGGTTGATATTCTTAGCAGTGATGGTTTTTGATAAGGAGACAAAATGGAAAAGATCTTCTGCCTTAGAAATAAAAACTATTCCAAGAACCGAGGTATTTAATTTGCAGTCACAATACAATCATACACTTTAATGTATGTATGGTTTTTCTAAGATTTTATAAACCTTATTTTTTTCCCCCGCATATTCTAATTGATGGATGCAGCAATATCTAATTATATACTGCCAATGAGCAAGACAGAAACCGAAGAAAGTGAAAAACTAATACTTTAGAGTGTAGTCCATGGTCACAGTCAGTTAGTCTAAAGATGTCTCTGTAAGCATTTTAAGTCGGCGTACAGCAAAAAAAAACGATCTCTGAGACTCTCTGACAGGCTGAGTTTCTTTCGATCCTGTCTCCCGTTCAGCTCCGGTTACCAGCTAATCAATCAGAGGTCACAGCATATGAAGCGTAAAATGTTTGCTTGTTCGGCATCACATATCACACCGGGATATTATGCTCTGCGGCAACATGTCAAGACTATCAAAATCTGTTGAACTTCTTTGGAAAAACACTGAGCTCAACGACTGATGACTGAAAACGTGATAGGACCGATTGCGCATAGAGACAAATGACGCACAGGGAGTGAATTTGATCACCGGAGCAGCGCAGTTCTTTAATGTACAGCTTCCATAAACAATATCTCAGGCTTAAATGCTTCTCACCAAAAGAGAGCAATACCGCAGACAGCAAGGGTTTATTGAACAATTTATTTTCGGCAATATAGCCTAATGATTTGGATGGATAGTCTCTTTTTGTGCTTTCAGAATTTCAAAATATTTTGAGCGCACTTCCTGAAAAAACAAGACGTATAAGCCACACCTACACCTCGTTATAGATAAATACTGAGCAAACTTTCATTTCAGATTAGAAACTGCGCAGGAGTGCACACCATCTTTCTGGAATTAAAAAGCCTTTTTACAGTCATGAAAGTACTTGTAGTTGTTGCAGTGGTTGCCCTGATTCATGGCAGTTATGGTAAATATGTATCTTTTTTTCTCTTGGACTATCATAGACAATCTCTTCAAAACATTTGAATGTATTTCTCCTCTGTAATGAGGTATTGGTTTAATATTCAAGTCTGGTTCTGATCTTTTTCACAAATATATTCATACACTTGCTGTCCCTGGGTTTTGTGTGTGTGTTTTATTTTTTTGTTGTCTCTGTGTGTGCGTGTTATTTGTGTGTGTGCGTGTGTCTGCTTGCCTGTCTGTTTGTTTTGTTTGTTTTTCCTCTGGAGGAAAGCTTTAGTTTCTCTTCTGTGACAGAAGAGAAACTAAAGCCCCTAGTGGTTTACAAGACTTAGACTAAAACAGGAAATGTTGGTGGAATTATCGAGGGACTGACAAGAAGAACAATTAAATATTTTTATGTATACATATATGCCAAGGCCTGTTTACATAAAACTCCCATCTAAACTGTGAAGAAATAATATAACGGGTTGTGTTGTGCAAAACTCTTATGTCGTCATTAATGTCAGTAAAGCGGAAGAACCTGTTGCTGGTCATGTGGCCATGGTGACTTTGAGAGTATTGGCAGTTTTCCAGCAGGAGCCTGAAATAAATGTCAGGAAAAGGGAGAGGTTGTTTTGAAAGTGTTGCCCAGAACAGCAGCTAGATTCCCTGTGCAGGTCAGCACGCCTTCACTCCAGAACCCCCTGCCTGTTCATGTTATGATCAATAACTCACATCTGTAATCTCTGTCCACATGCAGCCACTTTGCTCATTAAGGGGCCGACCGAGCCAGTTCTGGAGGGAGAGAGGATCACACTGGAGTGTCAGTACTCAGACTCTGAGTTCAACATCAGCCAGGTCCACTTTGAGATCTTCTCCCAGGTGAGCCATGGGAATGATTGGGTGGGTGTGAGAGGAAGTAGAGAAAAGATTTTCCTCTCACCGTGACGTTGGCTTGCTTAACACACTGCAGTTTTTGTATGAAAGGCCAAACTGTTTTGTTTTAACCCTTGTTGTAGTGGGAAAAGAAGATGACTTGTTTTGATGTTATTTTTATTATATATTTATATATTTTATATTTATTTATATACATTATTATACAGGCTGATACTGTACATGAAAAAAGAAGACTGAACAATGTGACATGTCATAACATTTATAGCTGACACTAATGAGCAATATCTATCTCTATATAAGCAGTCAAGTGCTCTATGTAAACATCACACAGAGTGCTGTGTGGTTTAATACAGTTGAGTATTGCTCCTCAACATAATGTCATAAGATTATGTTACCTGAATCTGATATCTCAAAATATGTATTTAAGTAGACAACTACCATCACCATTACCCACAACAGTGACCTTTTAATTACCAATCTTTCTCTCTGTCTGCATTCTCCAGTACATAAAGAGATGGCGTCCAGTTTGGGAGCGATCTTGGTGCTATGATTGGATGCAAATCGAGCAGACAGGAGACAGTCTCGTCCTGTCTATCCCTCGTGCGGGGAAATATTATGAGGGGCCCTACCGCTGTGTGTCCGACGCTGAAAATGTGACTTCGCCAGACAACTCCTCCGATGTCTTCGCCTTGAAAGTGCATTGTGAGTGCCTGGGTTGATATGGGTAGGAGCTGTGTAGGGCCTGTCTGCAGAAAGTCTATATTTCCCTTTGGCCAAATAACGAAATCTTAGATTTTTCATGTTGTATGTGTCCTGCAGAGGTCAAAAAGGTTTCTGCCTGTCTGACAATAAGCTAGACAGAAATGTGACTTGCAAATGAGACACACAGCTTCTAAATTTCACTTTCCATCAAGTGCGTGGTTTAACCTAGAATACTGAAATGACTAACAAAACAGGAAGTCAAAAAAACACCTGAATGTACATTGGTAAATAGTCTACGTAAGGAGACAGAACCGAGAGACAGAGAAACCTTGCAATTTTCCTCATATTTCCAAACAGCAGGAGGTAAAGACAATCTTTCAGACACTGTGGACACAGCTTTCTTCACAGTGAGAGATAGAAAAACACATGAATAGTTAATAACACAAGACATATCTATGCAGTGCAGCTGCAGAGTGTGTACAACAAAACAACTGCAAAAAGTACAGATCCAGTGCAAACACTGTGCTACCTATGATACGTGACTGCAGTCATTTAATTTTTTTCTTTTATACTCCAAGCAAACAAAGGCACATTCTCCCGGTGAGGCTCAAGTTAGAAACTATCAGTGTAGGATACACAGTTGCATGAAACGACATCCGTGGCGTAGCTAGTCTGATTATCAGTGTCCTCTATCTTCTCAGTGGCCATCAAATCGACCGTGATGCTGTTTGATAGGCTCCTCAGCCTCATGGGGGGAATCAATAAGAGGCAAAAATTAGAATGGACTAAAGGACTGAAGGAGACAGAGGGGGAGAGAAGCCAGAAGCTGGATGGACGTGGGCCATCTATTGAGATTGAAGAGAAAATGAGCCATTATTCACAACACTGCCTCTCTAAAGACTTCGATAAGATGAAGCCTATTATCATTATTATTGATTGCTTGGTACAGTCCGTACCACTGGGAGGCATTCATACTTGAGCCTATATACTCAAATATACTTCAAAGATCTGAGTGTTTACCAGCTGCTACCATTGCAAATATATGTTCAGTCACGCCCCAAACTTATGAAGAGGCTTCCGCGTACTTTAAATTTCACGCTTAATTAATGCTCGATCATGCTTCCTCATTCCCACTGTGTCTTTAGATATGGGGGAGCTGTCACTGACCAGGGAAGGCTTCACCAGCTACCTGGGTGTCCCACAGGAGTTGAAGGTGCGACGCGGGGATGACGTGGTGCTGAAGTGCTACGCCAGCTCATCAGAGAAGCCAAACTACTACTGGAATAAGAACGTGAGAAAGCCTAAGGAAATGTGCACAGTGACAGTGTCCTCATTATGCTTTTGGAAACTTGTCATTTTCTCTCCCGCTCCCTCGCTCCGATTTCGATGTGACCTCTATTTTTTTCCCTGTATTGTTTCAGTCTCTCTAGGTCCTTCTTTCTTTCTTGGCTTTGCTCAAGCATTCTCTTAATTTTCTCTCCTCTTCAAACTCGTCTCGGTTTCTCTCACTGACTTTCTCAAGCCACTTGTTTCCCCTTCGCCTGTCGTCTATTCATCCCCTACTTTGAAGAAGTACTCTGTATTTAAGTGACCGGTTGGCTTAGGCCCATAACTCGCTGGGGATTGCAGCTTTCCCACTTACAGAGGATTAATAGTTTAATGAGGTCTAGACAAGAGCCAGTCAACCTGAAAACAATTATGCGGATAGATTTCTAATGATTTTTTAGTGTTTGGTTAACCAGTATTGAATTATTCAACTGGGCTCTTCGCTGAGCTAAGGAACCCACGCCCGAGGGAAATTAAGACATCTTGGTGTAAAGTGCCGTAGTGACAACAGGCATGTAGAGCAAGAAGTTGTTGATGAGTCGATACACTGGGCCCTTGTGGTGAAAAAATGGTATTACACTTTCAAGGTGTCAAAATCACCACTGCAGCCACCAGCAAATAACAGGTGTAATGAAGCTATGCTACTATGAAGATATCTTTGGGACAGCCAGACATAATTGCTAAGTTTCCCCTTTTGTTATTCTTCTTGATAAGTCGGCTCGGGGTTAATATGCTTGTTAAAGGGTCACTGCTAATCCGGGGTTTTAAATGGGCTTACAAGTCCAAATCCAATTCAGTGGACATTTTATACTGCTAATACTGTTTGTCCTCAGCATGATCATATGTAGCGCTTTAGGTTTTGTCATTATTTGTTAAATATACAGCAGTGTCCCTTTGATGAAAAATAATAATTATTGGCAGGTCTGTAACTATATGGAGTTGGAATCATTCAGCGCACCTGCGATTATGATTCACCTGTCGATCTATTGCTCCATTTACATAAGTCACAAGACCTTTGGAAGAGAGGAATGACACATTCAAGGAAAGGATGAGATTAGATTAAATTTTAGTGGGAGTGTGTTTGTGTGCCTGTGTGTGTAAGCCCACTGTATGTATGACATGGATGGATACGTGCAGAAAGTGGCATCAGAATGGCCCACTTTGACAGACAGCTGCCGTGGGCACATTGGCCCCCGGTAATGACAGCAGGACAGAGGCAGAAACGGGCCACTGCTTTGGGAGCCAGTGGATTTGCATACAAAATGCTGCTTTGGCCAGACCTGGCCTTTATGGGAAATCCTCTTAATTCAGATCCATTCAAATTGAAATGGACTTTCTTGGCAGGAGCTGCAGCTCCCAGGAGCCAAATCATTTGCATGGTGTAATGTCTTTTTTTTTTGCCCCCTCCTCCACGTTCGTTTGTTTTCCAATCTTTGTGTTTGGCCTATTATTTGTTTCCTCCCATGTCGGGCTCTATCTCATAATAGTGCTGCTATTTTTGTGTCAACAATTCATCCTGCTCCCTTGCCATCTCATTATGTGTTGTGTTAACAGTGTGTTGTTGCGGCATCATTCTTTGCCGATGATGGTGTTATCTGGGTTATTGACTTGTGTCGATGTGTGTTCATTCATTGGGATTACTGTTCAGGTAAATACACTTCATTCAGGACTTTGGGGACTATTCTCTGAGGGCCACACACCAGCAGATTCTGTCAATGCCATTGCCTGTCTCTCTGTTTCTGCCTATCTTGTTCTATTTCATTCTCTCTTTGTACCTCTTTCGTCTTCCACTCATACACAACTCAGCCAAAATTACACTTTCTGCCCCTTTTCGTTCTCTTTCTCTCCTTTACACTCTTCATGTCTGACAGTCTTTCTCGCTATTTTGCCAACTAGCATAGTCTATTCTCCATATCTCTCCTGTGCTCTCAGCTCAGCACAATTTTAATTTGTAGGACTTTTTCGATTCTCTCAGGGCTGCAATCAATCCAGCCAATAAAGTATTTTTCTACTCCCTGCCTTGCTTGTTTGTCTCACTCTCCTACACTCTCTTGTATTTCTCCATGATTCTCTTTCAGGGTGATGACTGGATCCTGCCTTCCTCTACGTTGACGCTGAAGAAGGTGAGCGCAGCGGATGAAGGACAGTACACTTGCATCGCTGAACATCCCTCTGTGGAGTCATTCAGCAAGAGACGCACCATCAGCATCACCGTGCTGCCTGGTAAGAAGAGCCTTTTGTTCTACCTAAACAAGTCTTGTTGTCCTTCATACTGGCTGAGTCTAGACTTGTTGTTCTCCACTTACTCTTTCTCAAAAACTGGTTTGGATTCCTTTGTAACCTTTGGGAAATTCAGCTATCAACATCCCCTAAGCAAAAACAATATTCTATTTCCTCTTTAATCAGCCACACAAAAGTGAATGTGAGTTTTGTGTGGGTGCAATTACATCATCACGAACGTATGCAGAAGTTATCATACTCTCGGAATCAGTATAGGGTTGACGTTTAATTTATCTGCACAAAGAAAAAAAAAGTTGGAAAAAGGTTGTAATACTCACATACTATACTCAATAACAAAGAGGTGAAGACATTTTAAAAAAGCTACTCACATAAAACAGAAAACTGTCACCAACTCTAAAATGTCAGATGAAAAAAGGTAAGATGACACTACAGGACATTATACATTTAAAATAACTTAAATAAATGGCAACGACAGAACTGCATCAACTTTAAAGGATAATAATAATATAATAATATAAAAAAAGAACTGATTTTACCTGACCTTTAATTCTCTTTTGACGGAATAACAGTTTTTCTTTGTCTGAATCTGTATGACTGACAAACTATGTTATTTCTCATGAAATGCGAAGATTGTATTCAAGCGGAGAACTAATTTCATTACATTATAGCTAATCCAATTTACGGCACTTCATCTGTCTTCATCATCTTTATTAGTGACCTGTGAGATGACTGCACTGTGTTAATGCACTGCAGTTTTTTAAACACCGTCCTCTCACCAGTTAGGATTCATAAGCCCTGTGATTTCAATCGTTGAAATTATGCAACCTCTAAAAATGCAATTAAGCCAATGCATGTTATTTATTATGGTAGAGTTATCTTATTACTGCTGCAATTGACTCGTTGGTCACTGCGCTCCACAGTGTCTCCAGTATTTTCTCTCATGTGCTAATTAAAGCGGTAATAATTTCTAGATGCTGTAATAATATTTGATCATCCTTGAAGGTATGGTGAGCAAATGTTGCATGTCACTGCTGTTGCTTTGAAGTTGCACTACAATGGCAGTACAAACCTTTAGCAAACATTTCTGGTGCAGATCTGTGTGACTCCAGATGCCATACATATGGAATTACTGGATATGTGAACAGATGACGCATGTGTTTGTTGCTGCCATAATCTTCATTTTTAGTCTTTACTACTCTAAAGGAAAACCATAAGGTCCATGAGATCCACAAATGTTGTATATAATTATGAAATGTATGCACATGATGGGGATAATTAGCCAGTTCTTAATATTGTAAAAGGCAGACTTCTTAAAGATTGACGCTGTGTACGCCAGTATAACCATCTGAACTCCAGACAGACACTCTTCCACAAACAAACAGGAGGTTGCCTTTCGAAGCTTTGCCTCAAGGCGGGAAGCTCATAGTTTTGCTGATTTCAGAGTCTGTGTGATGCATGTCTCCCTTCATGTCTGACTGATTTGTCCCACAGAGGATGCTCCATGGTATGAGTCTAGTAATGGCCGTCTCATGTTGATGACCTCTGCGGCGGCTGTGTCTCTCCTGGTGTTCATCCTCTCCATGAGTGTGTTCCTGTGCCGCAGGGCCAAGCAGACCAAGACCAGCAAGGGACCAATGTAAGAAACAACTGTCTGTCAGTGTTTGTGTCTGTTCCTCTTTCATAATAAGCAATCACTTTGTTCTTTACTTGTGATCTTCATAATAGATCATATTCAAAATCTGATGGATGACTTCTGAATGCGAGTGGAAGTGTGTGCCTGTGTGATAGTTTGATTTCTTTACGGCACTTTATCCACACTCACCTTGCTATTTTCCTTAACTCAGCCCCAGTCTCTCCTCGTACAGTTTGACTTTATATTACGGATATGGTTATTGCTTCAATACTTCATTCTGTCTCATGTGATAGAACCAAGGCCATTTCAGTTACAGTGTGTGTATTTTGGAGTGTGTGCACCTTGGTGTATACTTCACCTTGTGTGCTTTATGTATGCCAAGTGTTCTTGCAGAAAACCTTCCCATACATGTGCAGACTACTGCCTGTGGACTTTTATGTGTTTTAAAAGACGTTATCCGCACTGAATATTAAAGTCTATCTCAGCAGGTTTGACCTACTTGACCCCATCCTTGATCTCTTTCATGCTCCCTCCTCTCCCATGTGCTTCCACACACATCTGCTAGTGAAAAGCTTGGGCTAATAGGAGCAGGTTTAATTTTGTGATAGTATATCAAGTATAAAAAAATTATACAGCAATCATAAGAGCATTAGTTGAAGTCCCATTAAATCTGTTGCTGACAGTATGTTAATGTGCACCATGACCCCATACAGCTTCGCTCATTAACTTCTTTTCCATATGGGCTGAAATAATTACATTTCCAGCTTCCTGCTTCATACATGATTTCTGTGTCTTTGTGGTGGCATTGAAGAAAGATTAATCCTTACAAGTGTGGCTGGGCATGTGTGCATAAAAAGAGAGACATAGAACAAAAGAAAGAGAAATGGACTTTCACAACAACAGCCAGGTGTGGCTCCATTGCTTGGTTCTAGTCTATAATTTCCTCACTTATACTTTTCTACTGCCTACTGGGAGGTCGATATACTGATAATCATGCTCTTCTGTCTTTCCTCCTCTCCCTTTCTCCAGTGATGACCGGTCTCAGAAAAAGCCCATCTACAAAGCCAGTGTGGAGTCCCTACCCTCCACCTGCGGAGACAAACAACCTCTGGTGTGACTGCACAGGCAGGTGGAAGGATGAGGAGGGGGGGAGAAGATGGAACGAGAGAAGAGGAAGATGGAGTGGGTGGCCAGAAAATGAGCGATAGTTAGAGAGGGAGGAGATGGTGTATGGTTATGGATGGTCACATTGGGGGAGGAGAGAGGGAGGAAAGGAGGGAGGCAAAAAAGGGACATTTGGAGACTGTAGGGAGAGCAAAATCAAAATCAGTTACAAGCTGGGTGTAGAAAAAAAAAAACCTGAAGGGCAAATGATTGCTTTAGAGACACAAAAGCTACTTTGCTTGTGGGTGTATGCTGCAGTTATGTATCTTGGACAAAAAGGTGGGCAATTTCTTTTCATTTATTCAAAAGTGTGGAAAATGGTGAGCTACATTCTTAGCAAAATGATGCAGGATGAGCCGTGTGTACCGCAAGAGCTGTAAAGATTCACATGGATTTCTCTCCTTTCTGATAAAAACATAATTGCTCAGCTGTGTATTATGAATGAATCATTTGGGTAATAGGACGTGGTTTTATTTTGTTGCTTTTTTTCCCTTTCAACCTTTCAAAAACAGAACCAGCTCAAAGCATCTATGCGAAGGTTATTAGAATCTCTTTACTGTGACAGCCCTCAAGCACATTGCACTCTACTATTTTATTTACTATATGTATGATTTCTTTGATTAAAGATTTATTATTAAATGGCTTTCAGAAAATATTATTTACTGTTCTCGTGTGCCATTGATTTTGTTCAATTTTAGTGATACAAAAGAGGTTGGGGAGTATTGACAACATGGTGAAAGCCGGACATGCATGCTCGCTTGGTCGCACATCTCCTCGATCCAATGCCATCTCAGACTTGCATCAGCTTGTTTACCAACCTTTCCCTTCAGTCTGTAAGACCTTACACTGAAGCAATGACCTTTACTCAGAGTACTGTGCCTGTGCACGCTTGTGTTTTTCCCCATCTGCCTGTAAGCATAAAACCCATTCTCAATGAGTTCACCTCACAAACACATACATGAACTAAAAACTCACACAGTGAGAATAATAGTCAGGTAACCTTGTAACTTTGCCCATAAATTATAATAGTAGGAAGGCCTTTTAGTTTACTTCGTTAGTTTTGCTCAAGGAGATCATTCCTGAATCATTTATTAATGTCTGGAAACACAGGAAAAGTGTAAAAAAACATCAAAATCCCCCAAAACTACTGCATCTCTGAATCCCTTCAACCAAATGGCACACATTTGGGCTATTCTATGTGATCTTCTTTTGATAAATAATGTAATGTAATAACTTTGTAATGTAATATTTTTTTCACTTCCACGTCTTCACTGAAACAGTTTGGACCCCCCCTGAGGGGGCCCACCTATTGCTTTGAAAACCTCTGAACTAGATTGAGTCTATTCTGATTCCTCCAAAATAACCATCATAGACTACAACTTCATCTTTTTAATTTTCTCCTCTGTTGCCTTGTAACCCTTAACGCCGTGCCACAGCACCATCGCTTATTACCATAACCGTGCTCATAATGCAGAGAATTTCATTACGCTTGTCTGTTGAAGTTATGTTGGGTTTTATGTGGTTTTATTATCGGTGTGTGGTTGACCGTAGGCCGTCGTTAATAATGGGCGAAGCTGCAGTTTAACAATGACACTCCATTAACGGGTGCATGCGCCACAGAGCACAGCCAGGATAATGTTATTAAACTGATTATTCAAACCCCCTGTGCAGCTCGCCTCTGCTGCAGCCATCCTTTGTTAAGCATTTTACAGACTCCTTGTATTTTTTTTCCAACTCCACAAACTTCTGCTTATTTTTTTGTCTTAGGTCAAGCCTAGGAATAAACAGATGTAACCAAAATAGAAAGACTTTTAAAAACTGGTCACGCTCTGTAGGAAAAAATACAATGTTGTAAATTTAAAATGCCCTCCTGCATGTGAAATGCCAGTGAGCACCATTTTTGTTTTGGCCTTTGAGTCAGTCATGAGTGAAAAGCTGTGTGCTCCCAAGTGGGCTTTGGTCCTGGGGCTTCATCCGGTTGGCCAGAAAAGACAAGATTATGTATCAGGAATTTCACACAGTGGAACTGTCCCTGAGGTACAAGGCTCTGGTTGGGAGGGAAAGAAGTGTAGTTTACAGTGACATTTTGACCTTGATAGTGCCTCATGGATAAACCGCCGGACAACAGCTTAGGGCGATGCAAGAGCTCTGCAGAGAATACAGAGCAGCTAGAATGTTCTGTCTGATGCAGGCAGGCTCCTAATAGGATAGGGGTGTAGATCTGTGACATTTGACTCTGGCAACTCCTCACTAGTGTCAACAGTTAGTCCTGGTAGCCCTCAGTGCACTAGCCTACATGTGCAGGTGAGTTATACCAAAGATGACACCTCACTGACTAACGCATCAAAGTGCCAGGCATTTGTAACTGTATGCCATCGCCCACTGGTGTTCTCGTCACGGTCACTTGGTTTTGTATGTGCATCCTGCATATGTTGTGTCAAATGGCTGAAAATGAAAGAGTGGAGTTCGCTGGAGAAGCAGGTGTTTTCCCCTCATTACTTCCTGACAATGCCCCATCTGGTGCCGGGGAACTGCTGCCACTGACTCCCTGCCAACCAGGGAACAAACACTTGCAGAGAAGCTGACAGGGAAAAATGGGATGGGGTGGGAATTCGGGGAATGATTGGGGCAGATATTATCCTCGCCAAAACAACAAGGTTAAAACTTGCCACGAGAAAAAAAATCACTTTGCGTAGGGACCCTGAAGCTGAGACTTGAAGATTTCACACAGATCCACAAGTCATGGTCAGATATGAGGCGTGAGTTCAAAGTAACTTCATGGAAGCGAAGGGTAGAAATATTAATATTAATGCTAATAGACTGCTTTGATGCCTTGCTGCCTGAACCTTTCTGACTGTTTGAGCCAAATTGACCAAAGTGTCTGGAGGATTTGTGACAGATGAGAGAGAGGCCAAAGCAGATTTTAAACCCATGACGTGCTACCCTTAATGTTACCTGAGGGGGGCGCCAAAGATACAGTTTCAAAAAAATGCCTTCAAGCCTTGGAGGCTACAAGCCTATGGTATAACACTAGATTAGGGGGAAAAAAGAGATGTGGAAAGAGAAACAATTTTCATAATGGAGCAGCGCTCTCTGACTGGAAAACACAATTATGGGCAAACTGTGGCCACAGCATGAGGGTAAAGTTAAAGAGCCCCTTTAGCGGGACCTAATAGGCCCTGACTACAGATGAGCAGAAACACTGGCTCGTCCAGAGCACAAGTTTTTGTTCCGGGCCATTACTGTCATTGTGAACGGTGATTTAACCGAATACACTGAAGTCTGCTCCCTGCTCTCCTTGATGAGTCCTATGCACATTTTAGAGACAAAGCAGCTTCTGCAAAATAGTGTCCCCTCAAAACACCTTGACTGCTGCACACATTCTGAGTTGTCAGTTTTGATAACTGAATAAGCAAATGATTAAAGAATCATCTTATAGAAAACAATTGAATTGACTTAAAATGTAGAAAGGGTAAGTTACTTGATTACTGAATGAATCAGCACACATAATCCATCCATAATCATCTTCAAATTGACTCCAGAATACAATAAATTATTGCATCATGATTGTCTCTTACAAAAATAAACATGTTTCATTTTCGTCATCTTAATCATTGTGCCACACAGCCTTTTCGGTGTGTGGAACTTGAATTTAAAATAAATTGGTTATTTGCGTCGGAAAATTAATGTTGGTTATCAATCACATTTAGAACAAATTGATTTCAATTAATTGGAAGGTGCAGCCCTTCTTCCCTCCCCTGCTCTCCTCCTGTATAGCCTATTTCTTTTCAAAAGCCCAACCCATCTTTCTCATCCGCACACCCCTCCACCTGCTCTTGCTCTCTGCAATTGGTCGGAAACACACACAAGCCCGCCCTTATTGGCAAGCTTTTTAAATATATTAACAATGTAAAGTAACCAAGAAAAACCGGCCAAGCAATCATTTTCAGCCATCCAGAGGGGGAGAAAGTGTGTGTGTGTGAGAGGGAGCATTACTATGTAAAGACCTGCTGTTACGCACTGAACGCTTGATAAAATACACACTCGTTCACGCACAGTCGCCCGCTGCGCGCACCCACACACACGCACGCACACACACATATACACAGACGCTGAAGGCGCTGTCGGGAGAGTGAACCTGCGGGTTCATGTCACTCTGATTTCTCCAAGGAAGAGGAATACTGAGGAAGAGATCAAGAGGGAATATCAGCTACAGCGATGGCTTTCGCGACCGTGTGGAACTACTGCGTCCCTCTCACCATCATCACAGTCGCCTGCTTGGTGCGCACCGGTAAGGCTCGAACCAGAGAGTGAATGAGTGTGATGTGAATGAGAAGAGTGTTAAGCTGTCGCGATGTGGTGGTGCTTTTTTTTCCAGTGCAAGTTTGCCTAAGTCCTCCAAGAAGAAGCTGAATAACGCCTAAAAAACGCACCTGGTCTATTCTGACTTACCAGGCTGTGAAAAGAGGCAAGGAGGAGCTCACCGCGGGACAAAAACACGTGCAGATATTCCAGTTTACAATCATGCTGCGGACCACTGTTAGTATTCACCGCTGGCTAATCACAATCGTTTGCAAGTCTGGGCTCCATCCGTATTGCTACTTCGGTATGAGTCATTGTGTAGACCACTTCTCGGAACTGTTAAGCTGGAAAGACCCCAAAACACCTCAAGACGAAAGCAAAAGTGAAGGCGCAGGCACGTTGTCACTTTTTGCCCACGCAGAAATATTTTATGAAATGGTCCACAGTGCTCTGTTGACCCTCGTGCGTCACAGCATGCTGATTATTCTCTCCGGACAGACCGTGATTGGGATTTATTGTATCATAGCTGCTGTGTGAGACGGGACGGGACTCCCGAGAGACGCATACAGCCATGCATGTAGAGAGCTCCGATTGAATATTCTGACAGCCACATGACCGCTCATAACAAATGCCCGCAGTGGACCAGAAGTGTGTGACACACCAGACCCAGCAGTGTTGTTTGTTACTGCTTTTATATTCTGCAGTAGTGTGAGAGGACTGAAAGGACCTTTGAGACCTCACCTTATCAGATACAATAACGTCTAACAATCTATTACAAAGCCTTATTAATGGCACCTGCAGTGCCTTTGTTGCTATTGCTATTATTCTTCCCACTGGAACATCTCAGTCTGGGATAGTCCTGCATCGCTCCCTTATAGGCACAGTAGATTTTATGGTCACTACCCTATAACAAGTGCATCTGCTGCAAAAATAAGGATTTGGATTAGGCTCAATCGTGACTCTGAGCAACTCCAGCCTCGTAGTATTCTGTGCCATCTGCTTGTGAGGTGGCACAATACAGACTCATAACAAACCTTATTAAATTCCACCCAAAGCTTCAGTGATTCTGACTGAACAGGAATGTAAACCAAGAAGTGCACACAGATGTTGCAGCACTGTTTTTTGTCTTGTGGCTGCTGTATGTGACCTATAGGGCTTTGTTTACGTTGTCCTGAGGCAGTGAAAGGGTTAAGTGCTAGGTCGGATATTGTCACAGTCAGACCTGTTCTGTGTTGTTGTGGTGATGTCTCTTTTAAACAGAGAGCTGCCCTGATACCGTCCTTAGCATGGCTCGGCCTGTGTATTGATTTCTTCCTTGAGTGTCTCTTTGTGTGTATCTATTTGTATGTCTGCTCC